GTATATAACCACCCACTGACGATGTAACAACATTCATACAGAACAGCCATTCGGAGTAATACTCACGAAGTCTAATGATAATTTATAATAATCCGTTATTTATTTCAGAGTAAATGTCAGACGTTCCAATCAGGCGAAATCGCGGGAATTATAATAAATCGATACAGGAAAAACTTAATAATGGAACAGAAAAAACGCCTTCGATATAAAGCATCAATTCCTTCTCTGCTAATTGCCAGGCGACTTAAAAGAACTTAATTACGTGCATCTGGCCGTCTCAAAGCAAAACATCGTGATCGCACTGGGACCAACAGGGAGATAATCTCACCGGGACCATACTGCAGCTTTCCCGAACCACAATGAATACTGACAATTCATTCCGGGAAAAAACCGTATAATGCGAACTGTGAGCCGCTTCCACTGATCATGTGAAATACAATAGAACTCACACGAAGAAACCGGATAAGTGCATCTCGGTGTGAACAGATCTCCCGGCGAGTCATGGAAAGACACATAAAACCACACGGGAGAGACGTATAACCGATCTTGGAATGCACCTCAACAATCGGTCGAAGACACACAAAACCACACAGAAAAAACGCGGGTATAATCGACTGTAAACGCATTCTCCTTTTGGAATGTAAACACATGAGAACCACACGGAAGAAACCGTCTAAGTGCGATCTGGTGAATGCTGCCCTCACGACAATCGGTGCTGTAAGAAAACACATAAACTCACACGGTAGATAAACCGATAAAGCACTGTGATCCTACCCTTCACACAACCGTGGATTGAAGAATACACCATGAGAACTCACTACGAAGAAACCGTAGAAAGGCACGGTAGCCGCCCGCACACAATCGGTGCTGTGAAACAACAGCATGAAACTCACACGGGTAAAAACTACTAATGCATTGTGACCCTCTCCATCTGGAGTCAGTTAAAGGACACAATGAAACTCGTTCATTATTTTTTCTAATCTTTATTCATCCATATTTTAACTTCAAATTTAAAACGATCCTTTATTACACTCATAACATCATACATTAACACATCCCTTTACATCAAAAAGTAACTCTTAACAACACACACATTACTTTTATAGAACAGTTATTACTAATCTGCTTAGTGCTGAACCGTGAACACAGATCACGCTAAATTCGCTGAACCGTAATGAGTGAACAGCCATGTGGAACAAATGTGATACAGCATGTGTGAACACAACCACAAAGAGAACATTATGATGAAGACACCAGCGAAGTAAGCAGCATGGTTGAAGACAACGGATGAATATGAACATTATGAGTGAAGACAACCATGAAGATGAACAGCATGAGTGAAGACACCATGAACTATGGAACATTACTGAGTGAAGAACAACCATGAAGTATGAACAGCAAATGATGAAAAGACAAACAATGAACGTATGAACAGCAAATCGAGTGAAGACAACATGAAGTAATAACATTATGAAAGTGAAGACAACCATGAACGCTATGAACTATTATGAGTGAAGACAACCCATGAAGTAATGAACAGCAAGATTGACGACAACGCATGAAGCTATGATACAATTATGAGTGAAAGATCAACGCAATGAGTATGAACAGCATGAGTGAAGACAACCTATGAAGTATGAACAGCATGAGTGAAGACAAACATGAAGTAGAACACAATGAGTGAAACAACCATGAACGTTATGAACAGCCAAATGATGAAGACAACCACTGAAGTATGAACATTAATGAGTGAAACAACCATGAACTATGAAGCATTAAATGAGTGAAGACAACCATCGAAGCTAATGAACAGCATGAGTGAAGAACAACCATTGAACTATGAACATTAAAATGAGTGAAGACAACCATGAACTATGACATTATGAGTGAAGACAACCATGAACTATGAACATTATGAGGTGAAGACAACACGAAGTATAAGCAGCATGAAAGTGAAGACAAACATGACGTATGAAAGCATTTATGATGAAGAGCAACCATGTAACTATGACATTATGGAGTGAGACAACCATGAACTATGACATTATGACGTGATAGACAACCACGAAGTAATGAACAAGCAGGGGACGAGTAAGACAACTCAGAGTATGATACATTATGAGTGAAGACAACCATGAAGTTATGGAACAGTCATGGTTGAAGACAAACGCTAACTATGAACAGTTATGAGTGAAGACAACCACAAAGTAATGAAACTATTATGAGTGAAGACCAACGTCATGAAGTATAAGCATTATGAGTGCATAGACAACCATGAAACTATGAACATTATGAGTGAAGACCAACCATGAGGTAGAAACATTATGACGTGAAGCACCAAACCATGACGTATGAACAGCAGATGAAGACTAACCATGAAGCTATGAACCATCATGAGTGAAGAACAGCCCCCCATGAGATATGAACATATGAGTGGACAGACAAACCATGAACTATGAACATATGAGTGAAGACAACCATGAACTATGAAGCATTATGATGAAGACCAACGCACGAAAGTATGAACAGCATTGGAGTGAAGACATACCATGACGTATGAACAATTATGATGAAGCAACAACCATGAAGTATGAACAGCATGGTTGAAGACAACCATGAACTATGAACATTATGAGTGAAGACACCAATGACTATGAAGCAGCAATGTAGGAAGACAACCATGAGTATGAACAGCATTGTTTAAGACAACCAGTAAGTATGAACATCGGTGAAGACAACCATGAAGTATGAATCAGGCCATGAGCTGCAAGACAACCAGACGTATGAAACATTAAATGAGCTCAACATACAATGAACCGTAATGATCGTGCACTATCTATAATGAACGCGAACATGACGAGGGGAACCTGCGCTATCCAATAAAAACGACGTGATACAACAAATATGTTCCCAGTTTATGTGGGAAAGTTATTGAATGACAGTTATTTTGTTAAGGCCTATTATGCCTTTGACATAATTATGACGTGATTGTCGTAATTTTTATACCACTAGCGTTCACCTCTAAATGAGTGCCATTCGAATTTGCTTGTAAACTGTGATCGTTATATTTCTTACATTTATTAGAGATTTAAAACAATTCATGTTATCAGAATGACAATTTTTGTTTTATTACCACATAATCCTAAATCCCCAAAATAATCCTATTACAAATGCTTCGCCATTTAACAACTTAGAGCCTTATCAAGATGTTGTAACGACTTGAAAATGGCTCACAATCTTTTCCGAATGTTTGTGCAAGTTTTCATTACTTCTCAGCGTAACACATGATGCCATCGGATACATGTGTACAGTACCAGTGGTACTGTGTACAGTACCCAGTAGGGAAAATGAACATATTTCATAACATCAGTTAATTTGCATGCAAGTCGCTTGGATCTCCTCGTCACATCTCTTTGCTCCTATTTTTTAATTTAGTCGTCGTTCTGATTTCGCGTGCGTCTTTTGGACGAGCGGACCTTCGCAAACACCTGAATATCTAGTTAAGGATAATGCTGCCCCAGTGTAGTGCAGGGTTTTTTATTTGCTGATGGGGCAGACTACCCCTGCTTCCGGATTATACTTCTCGCTAAAACACTTTGTACAAAAAATAGGGCATTTTAGATACATTTTGGAATTATTTTGTGGCTATTATTGATTAACTATTGATCATTATTTAAAAATAATTACCTCAAAATAAGATCCAAAATCCAATCAACATCGAGCGGAAGCATCAAAATAATAAACAATTCGCAAAGCCCTGGGCAAGCCACAAATATGGGGCAACCCAAAATAAAACCTGGATTGTAATACGAACCATTATCTTACACGTGGCATCAAAGATGCCCCGAGAACCAAACGCCAACATTTTTTTTTTTTTTTTTTTTTTTTTTTTTTTTTGAAAGCTTACTCGAATAATTGGACATAATTCTGTCGCGATATTCACATGTACCATCACGAGGTCCGTAATTAACACGTTCAAAAGGATACGACTACTAGAGGTTTCTTGTCGAAAGCACATAGCTCCTATTGGTATGCGGTCCCAGAGCTTCCTTTGGGGTTCGTTCCATCATTGGCTGAGAGTTATAATGCTGGTCCCTGTCCATTCGACCTTCTTTCATTCAGTCTGATATCGAACCGCAACGTAACAGGCCAAACTACGTAAAATGTCAAGATGACAGAACAGATTAAAGTGATACTAGGATTTACTGCATATCAACTGTTACTTACTGTTAAACAATATCGCTACACCCACACGTGACTTGTTACCAGATACCTAATAAATTGTATAATTAATTATACACAACCTACGAAATTTGAACGCGCACTTGACACCCGCGACCTGTGCTGCCACCCTGAAAAAGTTGCGCGATTTTCCGCAATCATATTTCGCAGTTACAGAAACGAGCGGCTAATCCAGCAAAGGTGCAATAATAGTTTAATAACTAAATGCTACTTTAAGCGACGATTCATGCTTTAGGACAAATTTATCCAAGATATTACTGAAAACTATATGTCATTTATAAGATATTACAATACCTTTTGCTTTTTAAATTAATAAATAAGAACACCCATCCGTCTGTACCCTTGGCCTGAAACCAGTCGTTTGCCGCAAACTTTCAGCATAACGTGGCGCCTTATGTGGCGCCCACCGTCCGTTGCTATCAAAACTGTAGTCGGTAGTTCTTAACATTAAAAAAAAACAAAAATTTCTAAACAATGTGATTGAAACTGAAACCTTTTAATGTAGCGTAATTTTAACACTAAATTAACTGAAAATAATCCTAGAACCTAGAGTAAAGGATCCCTTTAAATACTGTATATATGTATGAGGAGGATCTTTTGAAAATTGCACATTGTTATTCAATTATTACCTACTACCAATCATGCGAATTTAATAAAATGAAATACATACATAAATGACTGAACAAATTAAAATAAAATTATATATATATATATATATAGTATATTATAAACTTTCTCAAAGTATATCGTAAATCATCTTACAAGTTAGTTGCTTCCTCCGTGTTTTCCACGTAACGACCAAAGATGTAGCGCAAATCCTGCAAAACCAACAATGAAAATGGCAAGAAATCGACTAGCATGACAGACGGTTGAGCACTAGCACGTTCAGTGGTCTCGCGATGTGCATGCACTCCTTAACGAAATTCTCTCCGAATAACCTTGTTCTCTCAAACACTGCTTGGCTAGATTCTTCAAGTACAGCCGATTTGTCGGTTCTCCTGGTTCGTAATTCTTGTACACCGATAGATTCTTCATGTCTGTAAACATTGGTATCAATCTATCGTAGGACTTAGCGGTCGCCATGGTGCATAGTGTTACACCCACAATGAACACGGTTACATGTAAAAGTGCACTCAGGCAAACCCAAAGGTCGTCCTTCTATATACACGGTTGTCCAGTCCGAGGCTTACTGTAGCCAGGCAAACCTGTATAAAGGTGCGCACTCAAGGGAAACCCCAGAAATGTCCTTCATAGTCTGGCATGCATTATATAGAGGTACTTCCATTGTATAACTACCACGCAAGGAAAATCCAAACGTGTTCTTTGTGTCTGCTAAAGCTGGTTTGACTGTATGCCGAAACACGATCGCTTCGCTGCACACTACAAGGAAGGTCTTACCGTGCCGAGGCAGCCTTCCCCTTCTGCAACTCGCTTCGAGATATGAAATCCGTTATCGGTTCTTCTTCTCTGTCTCGTCCACTGCAGCACCCTGCACATCAGGTGGGGCAAAACTGGCCGAATCCTCCCTCCACCACTGGTATGCTGACCGATGGAGTGTCGTCGAACATACCTGGAACGAGTATGTATATGTATACATCCATTATTAAATTGACATATCCGTCATTGCGAGATAGCCATGCGCTCAATAGCTTTGAACATTGTTGCAGAGTCAGTTGAGCTAGACCCAGTTCCTATGCGTTTTTCCTGCGTGCACGCCGAATTGTCGACTTTGCGGCACTTCGTCATTAAGCATTGTCTTTTAGAATGTTTACTGCAATGCTGATTGGCTAGAGCTGACTGTCAATCATACCAGGTGGGTTTTCAGATGCCCTAGAATCATTTGGCAAGATATTAGACTTGATTGTTAGTAATAAGCTTCCGATGGCAAGTGAAAGCAAAATTTATCTTAAACTATTGGCAGATTTTTGCGCTCAGAAAATAAATATAGGCTGGAATATAGTCTCACCTGACAGCGGCAAATATCAACTGATCACTAAACACAAACAAAAAAAACTAATTTTACAAAAATACTTAGAGATGTTAAGAATGTTCAGAATCATATTTGAAGAGAGTTGAAGCCATTTATCACGTGAAACAATCTGGACATTGAACCCAACATAGTCCCCAACGAACAAATCAGGTAGCAATATATTAAATTATACTGTAAAAGATTTGTCGAGCACAATAATAAGCCAGATAACGTAACACTAATGGCATTGATTTTATATAGCGGTCAGAAATCACTTGATAGTTGAGGTGTCATTATGGATCTTGAAAATCATATTTGAGGCATCCCTGACCTAATATGTCTACGGCAGAAATAAGCGCGTGGCGCCACACAGCTAATTAGTGAACACGGGAGTAACTCTCTGTTCTTAAAATCGGGGTGTTTCACAGCAATTTTGATTACAGTATTGAGATAGAATTCCACAAAGCTTCTACAAAAACACATTACTTACCCGGGGGAGATATTCGCGAATTAGGATCGATTAACCCCAATCTGAGGCAGTAATATAACGTGTGAAAATCACGTAACGCTATTACATCCAATACCCCAGACACAATTAAACCTATTTAATTACTCTTACAGGCCACAAGATTGAACCAAACAATCTCTGTCCGTCCTGCCATTACTCCAACGCGAATAACCCGGTAGGCACGTCTGGGAAGCACATATCATAACTATTGAGTCTCCCTGAGAGAAACATGCTGGTGAAAAAAACCTCTCGCAATACGATTACTGTTCCAAAAAGATGCATCCGCCAGAACACATAACAAATGGGAACACGGGTTATAAGGCTCGAAACGCCATTCCTACCTAACTGGGGAGCAAGCCTCTAGCCTAAAACTGGCTAACTTAATTTGCTTTGCAGCGCCCCCTAAAACGAGCCAAATCCCGTTCGTGTCTTTTACTTAACCGTCAGGCAAACCAAACCCGACATCAAACGGAATAGGTAAAGGAGGAAAAGAGAGAGCAAGACTTACTAGCCGGAATTTTGACTCATTAATTTAAAAGAGGTTCGACTGTGTCTTTAGGTGCAAACTTTGCCATCCCATATTAGTATATTAACTGCTGGATCAAGCGTTGGCTTTTAAATTCTGAGTTTGACCCCTTAAGCTGCCCAAATCTCATCGCTTTTCGGTATGTTCCCATCTTAAAGTACATTATTGCGCATTGAAAAGTTTTTTCCAGTGTTTCACCAATTTTCCAAACTGAATCACCTACTTTTAATAAATCCGCTGTTATCTGCGCTTGAGTAACCCCACAATTGTCTTAGACTGAGAGTAAACAATTAAATGGTCTTAGAACCGCCCGTTAATTGGGGCTGTAATTCAGCCAGTATCCCTTCCCCCAGTCCAAATTAATCACGAGAAAAACAGGCCGGTTATTGCTCCCGTACGAAAACTAAGACTTTCCTCGTTTCTTCAAAGTAAATATTACCATTTTGTTTCTTGTCATCTTGAACTAGACAGGAAGTATGGACCTGTTTAAGCTTTGGCCGAACGATGCCAGGCCGCTTATCTGCCGTATGACATAATATACAGGCATCAACTGTTTTCAATTCATCACGACACAATACACAGTTTACCATTCTGCCCATTAGGCATTATTGCACAATACGATAAAATTGCTGCTTACGATCTGGTCAAATCCATTATTCTATGCTACTACATCTGACAAAAATCTTAGTATTTTTAATGTTGTGTAATGCAGTGATATCTTCCGCTGTCCAAGGCTGAGACTATATTCAGCTTATATTATTTTTTCCTGAGCAATAAATTCTCGCATAGTTTAAGATAAATGTTGTTTTACTTGCCATGGAATCTCTTATTAACTAACAATCAAGTCTAAATATCCTTGGCCAAGTGCGTCTAAGGGCATCTGAAAACCCCCCACCTGTATGATTGACAGTCAGCTCTAGCAATCCAGCATTGCAGTAAAGCAATCTAAAAGTACCACATGCTTAATGACGAAGTGCCAGCAAAGTCGACATATTCGGCATGCACCGGCAGGAAAAACCGCATCAGGAACTGGTCTAGCTCACTGACTAACTGCAACAAATGTTCAAAGCTATTGAAGCGCATGGCTATCTCGCAATGACGGCGAATATGTCAATTTAATAATGGAGTATAGCATATACATCTACTCGTTTCCACAGTATGTTCGACGACTACTCGATCGGTCACATACCAGTGGTTGGAGGGAGATTTCGGTCCAGTTTGCCGCCAACCTGATGCACTGGGTGCGTGGCAGTGGACGAGCACAGAGTAAGAAAAACCGGAACCAGGGATTTCCATATGCCTCCGAAGCGCGAGTTCAGAAGGGAAGCTGCGCGTCGGCACGGTAAGACCTTCCTCTAGTGTGGCAGCCGATCAGCGACTCGTGTCGGCATAGCACCAGTACAAACCAGCTTTAGCGCAACGACAAAGAACACGTTTGGATTTGCCTTGCGTGGTAGTTATACAATGGAAGTACCTCTATATAATGGATGCCAGACTATGAAGGACATTTCTGGGGTTTCCCTTGACTGGCCCTTATATACAGGATAGCCTGTACAGAGAAGCCTCGGACTGGACACCTGTCTATAAAGGACACTTTGGGTTTTGCTTGAGTGACTCTCATGTACCGTGTTGATTGTGTGTGTACACTATGCACCATGGCGACGCTAATCCAATAACATGATTGATACCCAATGTTTACAGACATGAAGAGTCTATCGGTGTACAAGAATTACCCGACCAGGAAGAACCGACATAGAGGTCGGCTGTAATCTTGAAGAATCCTAGCCAAGCAAGTTGAAGAAAAGGTATTCGAGAATTTCGTAAGGAGTGCATGCACATCGCGAGACCACTGAACGTGCTAGTGCTCAATTCGCTGTCGGCTGTCGATTTCTTCGCCATTTCATGTTGTGGTGTTTTGCAGCTGAGTTGCGCCTACCATCTTTGGTCGCGTGGAACAACACGGAGGAAGCAACTAACTTGTAAGATGATTTACGATATACTTTGAAAAAGTTTATATATATATATATATATAATTTTATTACAAATTTTATTTTAAATTTGTCTCAGCTCATTTATGTATGTCATCTTTCAATTTTATTAAATTCGCCATGATTGGTAGTAGGAATCAATGAATAACTATGTGCAAATCTTCAAAAAAATTCCTCCGTCCAATGACATA